GCAATAAAAATATTGGTATCGGTACTCGGTATCGGCAAGTACCAAAAATAAAAGTATCGGTATCAGGCGAGTACTGAAAAAAGTGGTATCGGTGCATCCCTAGTGTGTGCACATACGTATTTGAACTGTGTGTTAAAAGGGGGTTTAAACCTTGAAAATAACTAATGCTGCAATCAAGGTCGTTGCACTATGAGAGGATTCTTCCCCAATGTGTCAGGAGATGATCAGAATAGCAACAAGAATGCAGTAGTGGAACGAGTGGTGTGTGTGTGCACGTGTGTTTGTGTGTACCTGCCACTCTGGCTAGCTGGGCCGTGCTGATGTTTCGAGCATTGGGGCGCACTCGAAAGGTTACTGCTGGACCCAGAACCCTGAGAGACACAGAGAAGAAAAAGAGCGAGAGAGGAAGAGACAGAGCAAGAACGAGACAATAAGGAGAAAACAAGAAAGAGGAGATAAAGATTAACAGAGATAAACAGAATGCCAGTATGCAGTGAGTGTGATGAGCTAAAACTGTTGCAGCTGTGAGTCATGAACATAATCTTTTATCATTTAAAAAATACATTGTTGCAGACGCAGTCAACTGCAGCACCACAACACCACAGTTAAAACAGCAGATCACTAGGGAATATTGCGTTTTGGTTAATTTTCCTATGACAGATCTGTGCCGTTAACTTCCTTCTCTGCTTTTGACATAAATTTACAAGATTTTCCTCCATGAAATAAATCCTCACAGGAAACCTGATGTTCTTAAGAGTTGTCTAAAATGTTTAGTGGATCAACACCATTCAGCAAACAGGTCTAAATGGAAAAGTAAAAAAGTAAAAGAAATCATTCTTTAAAAAAAATTGCTCACAGACTCAATACATTGGATTTGAATCTCTTTGCAGTATTTGAATTGGTGATTCAAAAATGTTGTGCAAATGCATGATGGCATTTCGTACAAATGGCATTTGTGATTGAGCCAAACAGCTGTCTGGGTGAGATCCCAGCAGCAATCCTCATTCATTTATCTATTTTAACAGAGAATCCTGTGAAGTATAATATTTCATGGTGAATTGTTCCTTTAAAGGGAATGGAAATGCTTTTTAAAAATGCTAAATATATTCAAAACTGACACAGTTAAAACAAACCGTCACACATCGCCTCACGAACAGAAAAACAGACTCAGGCAAAGGAAGAGAAGGATCTGCAAACTGGCACGCCACCATGACACCAACACAGACCCGCAGATGAGCTACTGTTCAACATGTCTGTTTATCAGTTAAAGATGACTAAAGCAGTGAATGGGATGGTTAGTTTACAAACATGCAGTTGTCCAACAAGGGATCTTCCTGGTTACTGATTCTGTGGCAGATGCATTTATCTGGGACGCAGCTCTGAAGCTACTCCCGCTGCGGACCAGGGTGAAGTGAGGGTCACAAATAGAGAGAAAAAAAGAGGATAGAAAAAGAGAAGAGGGGAGAACATAAAAGAGAAAAAGAGAGAGAGGTGGAAGACTGGAGGAATGAATCTGTCACCAGAACAAAATCCCATTCACACGTCAGCAGGTGGCAAGAGCAAGTCCAAGGTAACCTCTCATCCTCAGTAGAATTAACACACACAGACTCCCAGATATCTGCTGGAAAATAATAGAGCTTCTAGAGTCTCATGTCTCATTTTATTCTTATTATATTTTAAATTACTGTAAGCCATAGCTCAATGTTAAACCATCAAGACTTGCTCTCAGTTTTAAAAATAATATCCACAGCAGGAAAAACAGTATAGTCTACTAAAACAGTAATCTATTTTAAGATTAATTGTTTTGAAAAAAGAAACTATATTGTTAATGTGCCAATTTTAATGTATTTTTATTTATAATATACATATATTATTTACAGTCAGGTCTGAATAAGGTGATTTTTTGGCTACCATGCATGCCCTCCTACATGCACTTGAGCTTTTTAATATCTACAAAAACATAATTCCCCTAACAAATACTCACATTATGGCTCTTTTTATTTACTTTCCCTACGCCAATTTCCACCCATCTTTTGCTTTCCTCTCTATACCTGAGCACACACCTCTATTTGGCTTCTGGAAATTTCTGGATGAAAACAGTGGTTGTTAAAGCTAAATAAACACAATGGTCCAGACTCCTGTTTATAACAGCATCAGTGCTGATAAGTTATCAGTAAAATGCCACCAACGTCCAGTACACAGAGGGAGGAAAGCCATAACATAACGATACTGCTTCTGCTTGGCTCCTTTTGCACCATAGGGGAGAGTGTGGGATGGAGATGATAGGTAGACTGTGTGTGTGTGTGTGGGTTGTAGAAAAATACATAAGCGAGTGAGAGAACGAAAGAGAGGTAGAATTAGTGTAAATGAATGCGTTTGTGTTAATGTTTCGATGTGTATAAGAGAACAAGACTGTCTGATTGCAAATCCACGATTGTGTGTATGTGTTTTTCTGTGCCCCCTACTGTCTGCACACAGTACAACCCTTACGTCATGTCTGGAGTTCAGAGAGGTGCTACGCTGACTCTTTATGTAACTGCAACACAGTGCGAAGCCCAAACATGGCAGCACTGCGTTTGAGTGTACAAACGTTTGCATGAGTGTGTGATGAATTTTCCTGATCATTGACTGCTTATGTGATCGTATGAGCAGAAGCTTGCTTCTGCACTATGTAGTCTGCTTGTCCACTTTTCTAGCCGTCTTATCTTTAGTCCAAAAATGCCATATTACATTATGACATAATGTTTTATATAAGAGTGAACATCATCCAGTACACCTTTCCATTATTTCTCAGAAAATATGAAAAGCATTAGATGACAAAAGATACATTAGCAGGTAGCTGTGTAAATAGATATAAGGCCCTATTCAAGAGAGGAAATTAATCATACGCAGAGACACAGCTCAACTGGACAGCACTCAACTACACACACATATTGTATTTCTTTTCTATTTCAGTGAGGTCTGAATATGAGGAAATGAATATGTTCCTCAGGTGATGAAAAATGTCCTTCTTTCATTAATAAATTGATATATGCTTGATATAGTTAAAAAGGTTGGGCTCCACAAAATGTTTTTTCATGTTTTTAAAAGAAGTCTCTTATGCTCACCAATAAGTAATATTGTGAAATATCACTACTTTTTTACTGCTTTCTGTTTTAATAAAATGTTATTATTCCTGTGATGGAATAGCTGAAATTTCAGCAGCCATTACTCTTCAGTGTCACACGATTTTTCAAAAGTCATTCTAATATGGTGCTCAAGAAACATTTCTTCTTATTATTATTATTAAAAATAGTTGTTCTGCTTATTTCAGGATTCTTTGATGAACAGGAAAATCAAAAGAACAGCATGCGTTTGAAAAAGGAACATTCTGTAACATTATAAATGTCTTTACTATAACTATTGATCAATTTAATGCATCCTTGCTGAATAAAACTTTGAGAAAAAATGCTTTGAATGGTAGTGTAATTATGATCTGTAAAGCGCTTTTCTCTCTCTCTCTCTCTCTCTCTCTCTGTGTGTGTGTGTGTGTGTGAGCACATATTTTGTTGACAACTTCATTCCAAGAAGCAAACTAGCAAAAAAAATAATTAGAAACATCCTCATTTGTAAAAACAATATAGAAATAAAGTAAATTGTGTTTTCAGTTAGGGTGAGAATGTGTATGTGTATATTAAATAATAGAAGTCAAGTAAAGCTGGGTGTGTGAGAGAAGGAGTGCAAGAAATTAGTAATTGCATTAAAATTTCCGTTATCCTTGCACATAAAGCTTCATTTATTACGTGTGTGAGTGAAATGCAACCACAACAAGTTTCTCAGTGAAATACAAGAGTGCCAGAAAGCATTTGTTGCATTCCAAACAATTAAGCAGAAAGCTGTCTTTAATCTGTGCACTTGTAGAACATCGGTATCATCAGAAAATATGCTGTAATTGAACTGAAATTTACCACTGCAGGCAGGTCAGAATAACACACACCTACACACACACCGAGATGCATTCTTTCTCTCTCCCTCTCTCTGAACCATTTATATAAAGCTTGAACTTATATGCACAGAATTCAGAACACACTCCTAATCACTGTGCTGTCACTTGAAAATAAGTACTTAGCCCAAACTATACTGCAAAATGGAAAAACAAAACAAAACCACAGGTGGAGTGTTCCATTAGTGCCATTAGTGTGTCGACTAGCATGAGACTGTCTTCAACAATTATGTATGTGTGTGTTTGTGTGCACGCATGCACTTACGAGAGCTGTAGAAAATCTGTTACATGAAGGCTGACTCTCTCAGCTAAGAGATCCATGAGGTTCAGCCCCTGATCAGTGGACAGCGAACTAAGTATGGACAAAAAGGAGAAGAGGAAAAAAAAAAACAATTAGATAGACCTGTACATTTTCACAAGAAAACGAAGGTGTTGCGAGTGGTAGCCAGGGTGTTGCTAAGGGTTTACAAAATGTTCTATGTAGTTTTTAAAATGTAGCCATGCAGCTAAACTCTCAGAAAACAAATAATACAGAATCTGTCACTTGGGCAGTACCCTTTCTGAAGGTACACCTTTGGGTATTTGAATATTTGTATCTAAAGTGTACATATTAGTACTTAAATGGTACATATCGGTACCCTTTCAAATTACCAGAAACATCTTCTGTACCTTTTTTCTGACAGTGTAGGCAGCAGATTACTGGCGATAACTTAAAATTCACAAGTCTCTGATATTTTGATCTGACTCAGGTCTCTCCTTTACTTTAAGTCTTTACTTTAAGTTGGGTGAAAATCACAAATCCAATTGCTTAAAAGGGTACATACTAGTACATTTCTCCTGCTCGATTTAAGGTATGATTCATGTCTATAGCGTAGGTACACATCATAGTTTTAATATTTAGGGCTACAACAAAGGTTCTCAACCTTGGGATTGAAAAAAATGAACACAATTGTTCTAGGATAAACATGACAAAATCTGCAAAATATAACAATTAATATTTAAAACATGCCTTTCAACACCAGAAGTTATAAAATAGTTAAATATGAGGTCTTTCAGTAATAGATGAGAACATTTACACTTGAACACAGCTCACATGAGGTATATAGAGAGCAGAGAGTGCATAAAAACACATAGGGAATAGGACACAGGTGGCTTGTATGCTTTGATAAATCACCTGTATTTTCCAGCAATGAGGCAAACAATAAGGTGTAAATGGAATCCCTGTGAAGTGTGATGTCTTTATGATATGGCCACGCCAGCCCGAGTTAAAACACACGCACTCACTCACACATCAGAACACGTGCAAACACACACGAAGCGACTTGCACACAAGCCTAAAGAATGATATGCATTTAAATGGAAGCGTATTCACACACATGAGAAAGAAAGTGAGAATTAGAAGATGCTAGAGTGTAGTGCTGGGCGGTATGACCAAAAATTTATATCACGGTATTTTTCAAAATTCAAAAAGTTTCACGGTTTCCAATACACACTTACACACTTTTAAATCTCCTTTTTGAGAATGTGTCTGTGTTTTCAGGTACTCCAAGTTAAATGGGACTGCAGTAAGCTAGCCTCTGTGAGATAAATCAAGTCACTGGAGATGCAGTGGCTGTGGATGCCATCATCTTTCGCTTTGAGAAATGTACACAACCATTTACACACTAACACTAATATACACAGAGAGGACGGGTGAGGGAAACCAAATAAATTGCAATATGGAATGCAGTAACATAAACTGAGTATGAACACTAAATGACAAAAGAAAATGTGACTGAGAGAGTTAAAGACTCCATTATGCATAGAAATCATTGTAACCAAGTAAAACCACAGATGACTCCTTATTACCATGGTTAGAGCAATTTCTATAAAACATACACTGGTCTTGTGATGAAAATGTTGCCTAAAAATGTGCAGAAACTGTAGTTATAACATATGTATAGGGCCATGCTCTGATAAGAGCCCATGTTACACCTCTCTTTTTCTCCTTGCACTGGCTACCGGTTGCGGCTCGAATCAAGTTCAATACATTGATGCTTGCATATAGAACAGCTACAGACTCAGCACCCGCCTACTTCCACTCACTACTACGAATCTACATCCCCTTCAGAAGTCTGAGATCCGCTAGTGAGCGACGCCTCGTGGTACCATCACAGAGAGGCTCAAAATCACTTTCCAGAACATTCTCGTTCACCACTCCTGGTTGGTGGAACGATCTTCCCACCCCTATCCGGAATGCTGAATCCCTGACAATTTTCAAGCGACAGCTGAAAACCCATCTCTTTCGAAGCTACTTGACTTCATCATAAAAAAAACAAAAAAAAACAAAAAAAAAAACAATCTCTCTATTTATTTATTCCTTCTCTTTCTAGCTTGTACTTATTTGAACAATGTCTAAGAACTTGGTATTACAACCACTTCCTGTGTCTGTTTGCCTCTTTAAGAAGAATCGCTTTATGTATCCCCCAATTGTAAGTCGCTTTGGATAAAAGCGTCTGCTAAATGACTAAATGTAAATGTAAATGTGATAAAATACTGGAATATGATACACTGCAAAATCATTTAAAATAAAATTGCCAATGCTACATCAGTGATGACTGATTTTGTGACTGAAGCAAAAAAAGAAAGAAAAAAAAAACAGTATAGTCAATTTTTATTTGTATATTTGTTTGTACTGTATAAATAACAACTTACATATACATTACTGTTCAAATGTTTTGGCTCAGTAAGATTTTTTAATAAATTAATACTTTTATTCAGCAAAGCTGCATTAAATTGGTCAAAAGTGATAATCAAGGCATTTATGATTTTACAAAAGATTTCTATTTCAAGTAAAATCTTTTACACTTTACATTAATTAAAGAATCATGAAAATAATGTATCACAGTATCCACAAAAATATTAAGCAGCACACTGGTTTTCAACTTTGATAATAAGACGAATTGTTTCTTGAGCAGCAAATCATTGTATTAGAATGATTTTTTAATTATTATGTGAAAATTCAGCTTTGCCATCAAAGGAATAAATGACATTTTAAAATATGATAAAATTGAAAAGAGTTATTTTAAATAATAATAAAAATAATATATTTCACAATATTACTGTTTTCACTGTATTTTTTATCAAATAAATGCAGCCTTGCTGAGCATAAGAGACTTCTTTCAAAAGCATACTGTAGATCCATGTGTCCTTCATGAGTGCATACATCTTGTTTCTCATCATGACAGTCTATGTAAGTGTTTCTGTAGAATTTATACTTACTCTTCAGTAATAATGTAGCCAAAATCTCCATCATGTGGACTTGAATATGCTGCAACATTCACTTCCACTCTCACACCCTTCTTTTCCACCTCCTCCTTCTCCATGAAATGTTTTTGTGGCTCTTTTCCTGATTGAACCTCTGGTTCCACTTCCGGAGAACCGTGCATCCACTGTGCTACCTCAGCGTCCTCCATTGGCTCTATATCTAAAGTGTCAGGTTCCATTTTCTTCCTCATCAGGTCCAGTTCTGTTTGCGTTGTCCGGCTCTGGACATTCTCCAAACTAGCCCTCAATGGGCTTCCAGCATTTGGCTGGTCAACGTACCCCAGAAAAGGCTCTTCTGCTTGGGGAGGACACACAGATCCAGGGCCAGAGTTATGATCCAGGAACTCTAGCAGCTGGCTGATGAAACCTTTGTCCTGGAAACAGAAAATTAAACTGGGAATTCTATTGACTATCACAAAAATATGAGTCACATGGCCCTGTGTATTTCCACATATTACCTTATCATCAGATTTAAGGGTAGTATCTTCTGCTTCTGTAAACGTAATTTAAAATCATAGTAAAGATCATGGCTCTTGATTGATCAAAAATTTCTATACTTAAGGATTGTAACTAGGGTTTTAAAACATGTGTAACCAGGAACTAATCAAATATTTGTCTTTGTTAAGGGGTGACTACCTTTATGTGTGCTGTCACCATCTGCTTTCTCCATCTGATGTAACTCTTGACTTGGTTCCCTCTTTGCTTCCACTTCATCCTGTGTGGCTTCTCTACCTTTGACCCCTTCCACTCCATCCACCACCTGCAGGGCCTGGGTGATGACTTTGGAGAGCTTGTCCAGGTCCTTTGGGGTCAAAGTATCCACACTGACGCTCTGACATCCGAGCTGGTTAACCACACCATCAATGAACTTCTCTGAGAGAAAACAGAGGCAAAGATAGAAAAATTATCTGGTATTTTGCAAGTGTACAAACCCCCCCTGCTCTAATTTGTATGACCCCTATTTGATTAAAAAAGGTATAAAACATCACGAAACTGTCAGTGTTTGCGTGCAATTCAATAAATGACCCTAACAGGGTAATTGCTCAGCACATTATGCTTAATTCATCTGACATAAGTATTTGGAGCCAGACTGTGTTTCTCATCTCTACCTCAGTCTCTTTCTGATTAAGGTAAATTTATAATTTAATAATTGTGCTTTTTAAAATTTTGGGGCATGAATTATCATAATGATATCAATGTTTTTTCAGTCACTTCAGACTGATCCTGAACATGGATAATTATAATGCAAAAACTCGTCACAGCCAATATAATATGACCCTGTTTCTCCTTATTAACATAAAAGGTGTTTGATTAAACATAATATGTTAAACATAATATTCTTTATTTGTTTCTCCTGGCTTCTTTTTTAACACACATATAAATATTTATATAACATATACAGTATAACCAGGGGCGCCTTAAGATAACCAGAGGCCCCTGGGCTACAGCGTTACAGTAGGCCCCCCCCTTCCCTAGATAACTTTTTTAAGCTTCCTGACAATTATTTATGTCAAATTTCAGATTCCAGACAGATTTGTTTCCTTGTTGATATGCCAATTAACATTCACAACCCTGTTCTGCGTAAAATGTGAATATAAGTGAATATGCAAATTCATTCTTTGCCAGAAGGTGGCGCTTGTGGAACAGCTACATAAAGTAAACATTATGTTATCACAGGCATTATACGGAGGTAATATGAAAAGATAATGCCATTAAAACTTTCCTGGCCGAAATGTGAGTTTACAGGTATGATTTAAACACCATAAATTACACAGAATATTCATTATTCATCATCAGTAGATCGAAACAACACTTGGCAAGTTGGCATAAATGTGAGCTATTTGGTGACTGCTAACTGCGTTTTTATTTTGAAACGTGCCGTGCTCGCGCTTAATTAATTCAATCATAGCCATTCAAAGTTTAATGATCACATTTAAACAATAGGATGATTCCTATTCTTCCATCCCCAGATTTGAGATTGAGACTCTGAAGCAGCATGTTGGAACACAGTGACTGAATCTAAAACCTTCAGCTGACACAGATTACATCCACGCAAGTCACTGAACTCGCACTGTATGACGTTACAGAAAGTTGTCCGGTCCAGCTCCTTTCACACAGCAGTGTTGTGTTCTTTTTGATCTGCACGTTAACATAAAGACACTCTCGTACTGGGCTTTACTAGCGCATGCATTGTGTATTTCGCTAGTATATCGGTGGAATACTTGGAATATACCAACTATACAAACTGTGTGGGGGAAACTTAAACTGACCCATTCACTATAAACTACAACCAGGGCATCGCTGAAAATGAGTGTGTAAGTTTGTTTACAAAATGCTAGGCCCCTGGGCTTCAGCCCGTTAAAGCCCGTGCATTAATGCGCCCCTGAGTATAACATATATACATATAGAAGAAGAAGGATTAGCTCACCATCTACTGAACTGAGGGCTTCCTTGTAAGCAGGGCTGCTTGCTGAAGATTTGAAAAACAATTTTTCGATTTGGGGCTTTGGAGGTTGCTTGGAAGCTCCTGGCAGTTTTTCTATTTTGGTAGCTGGAGTGCGCTGAAGGCTGAAGTAACGCAGTTTTCCCTGTGTTTGACCTTTACCAGGATCTTGTGCTCTCATGGGCCCAGCTTGATACTGCTGAAGCTCAACGAGAGGTACTCCAGTACGATCCTGCTCATAACCAGTGAAGTATGATCGACCTGGGGGGGGCTGTTCCACAACGGCCTGGAGGTCAGGCTGGCCTTGTAGGAAGGAGATGTGGGGTGAAAGAGGCTTCTCTTTGAGCTGGATTACACCCTTGTGATTACGGGGGCCATCTCCCTTGTACTATGGGAGAAGAATAAATAAATATGTAAATAAATACATAAATAATATACATAATATACATATTGTTTTGTAAAAATATCTTTATCAAAAACTGACCAAAGATGATAATGTTTAAAGAGTTTCAGCCTCATTTTAACATTGTATCAGCCTCCCTCTTTTAGCTCTGCATATTGTTCTGCTCTATTTGAGAGATTATATCAAATAATTATATTCTTCCCACCTTTGCAGAATAGAAGGCCAAGCTGGCTTTAGAACAGCAGGGTGGACTTCACTGAACAAACCAGCACATACACGGCTGGCTCCAAAACACTGCAGGGTACTAATATTCAATAGTGCAGTGAACTTTTCAACTCTCGTGACTGTTAACTTCAAGAACAGTTGTTTGGTGATGGTGTTTTTTAGTACCAAGCAGGTTGCACCTCGGATTACATGTCCCCAGTAGCTATGTTCTTATCTGACAGTTGTCTAATGAAGTGCAGAGCAAGTAGCAATACATGGCTATTTTTGCTAAATCTGACATTCCACAGCATGTGCAGTGCACTTGTTAAAAGTGCATTAAAATAATGCATTTAGTAACTACTATATTATATACACCTTGAAAGCATATCCATGTATGTGTGGTAGTTCTGCCCAGTTGTTTACAGTCTCAAGCTGAAAATATGCCCTTCCAAAAACTACTGATTTCACTTTTAGGGAGAACTGCCATATAGTCACTATATGCATCCAAATACTTCAAGTGATATGTGAGTAAACAGAACTATTCTTTTATATAGTTGTTGGAGACTCACCTTCCAAAGCACTTGCTGCCCTTGAGGACTCTGTTTGAAGGAGGCAACATCAGCAGGAAGGAAACCTTGAAGGTACCTCTGCAGTGTCCTGCTCACTTCTTCTTTCTGAGTCTTCAGCTTCCTGTCCCCATTGGGAATGTTTATAATACAATCCCATGTTTAAAAACAGATAAACAGATTATAGTAGATAAAGTGTCTAGAATACAAACCTGTCTGGATCAGATTATCACTTTACTCTATGGTTCAATTTGTGAACATTAGATACTTTTACAGTATTTATAAGTGACATGACATGTGGCCGTGACATGACATGTGGCCAAGTATGGTGACCCATACTAGGAATTAGTGCTCTGCATTTAACCCATCCAAAGTGCACACACACAGCAGTGAACACACACACACTGTGAACACACACCCG